GAGGCATTGTAAGGGATGTAAACCTTAACGGACCCCAGACAGGCTCAACATGCGCGCTGGCTGTGGCCAAAGTGCTTCCCGGCTTGTTGCTAGCCCAAGGGACACGGGAGACCATTGCAAAGTTGGTCGGGGTGCTTCGCGCGCTGCTGGAGTCAAACGAAGGCGTCTTGCCCAGTCGGCGCGGACGTGCCGCAGCCGGCAGCAGGAAGAGCATTGCGACCAAGGAGCGCAGCATGCTGGCGATTGCGAGAGAAGAGGGGGTGGAGGTCTGCAAAGGTCTACACTTGCGCACTTGTCCTCTGCGGAACGATTGGGGCGAGGAAGGGATAATCAGCATGCATGTCAACAGCAGGCTCATGTGGAATGCATCATGAAAGAACACTGAACATTCATCGTATTAGGTGGCAACCCGACCAACGATCCCGCTCCTCGCACTTTTGCTTTCCCGGGATCGTGATTACCACGACATGTCGCGTAAGGGGAGAGATGGTTGAGTTTGACAGGGGAGTTATGTTGCAGGCAGCAAAGCATTGAGCAGCGCTGCCTACTGGCGTCGCCGCCAGCGTCTGATAGACGAACTCTGTGTCGTCGAAATTCCAAACCTAGGGGTTTAGGGTTTACAGGTTGGGGATTGGGGTTTAGGGTATGAAGGTTCAAGGCTTACGGTTCTTCATGTCCTCAAGCGCTTATTCTGGTTCATACTACATTGACTACATATGCATATGTAGACCCATATGGTATCTCTGCACGCTCATAATGAACCCTACATCCCAAAACCCTAAAAAACCTAATTCTTTGGACTGGAAGATGCTTACATGAGACTTTTCCCTAAGGGTCCATGTACCCAATAATTAGGTACTTGGGATGTGGGTAGTAGTAATTATAGTACAGTTTTGGGAAAGTATGTGATTATTGGGTACTTGGACCCTTGGGGTTTTATGATGAGTAGGGGACCAACCGAGGTTCAACCCCATGTAGAACGCTGACCCGGGAGTAGAGCAAACAAAGTGTGGTTTGATGTACCCTAACAACTACACAGATGGGATGCTGTGAATAAAGGAAATCTTGCCTATATACCTTATATACCAATTCTCACAGTAGCTTGGGGACCTTAAGTGGTGCAAGATTTCCTGTATCCACCGTAGTGTGCCTGGTTACCTCAGGCGTTCACAGTAGCAGTGTGTGCCTTTGCTGAAATATCGCAAAGTGAGCATCCTCAACCTGCTGGTTGCTCAAGTGAGGGGTTCCCCTACCTATGCTACCCCCCGTAGGCTCCCCACTAACTAAGGTTATTTAAAGATAACTCGGCCGAATCAAGGTGAATTAAGGGGGAACCTAGGGGGGGTAGTATGGAAAGCGGTCGTTCGGAAACCCATGATTAAGCCTCCCTTTCCTGTGGCTGTATTTGGGATGCCTCTTTGGGCCTAGAGCTAATTGTTGGGTACTTGGACCCCTAGGGCTTGGGAGAAGCTACAAATATCCTCAGCCCTGAGCATCGTCAACTGCGTCTTCGTGGAAGGCATGGCTGTTTAGGGCTTAGGGTTTAGGGTTTAGGGATTAGGGTTTAGGGTAAAGCCACGAGCTGCCTGCATACTGGCTTAGGGTTGAGGGGAATCTCAAAGAAGACCATGGCCCTTAAAGCCTAAGACTCCTGACTTTAGACCCTAAACCCTAAACAACAGTTTCCATGTTCTCTCCATTTTCCCTACATAAGCCCTAAACCGTGAACCCTAAGTAGTGGTTTCCATTTTCTTTTTCCATCATCCCTATACAACCCCCTATAACCCCTGTATACCCCTACATAACCCTTATGACCCTAAACCCTAATTGGCACACCCCTCATCCCAAAGGCCCAAGTGTCGGGCATAGCCGCTGGGTGCTCGGAAGCGGATGAAGCCCGTGTCCCCCACTGGGTGGTTGCTGATGACAACTGACCTTGCATAGGATTTCAGGACTTCTGGACTGCCGCATAACGCACCCCAAAGGGTCCATGTAGCTATTTAGTACATACTTGAGCCACAAAATAGTAACATGGGGAACCCCTTTCGGCCCTAAGTATATACTATATACCTACATGGACCCTTTGGGCACACCCTGCAATTACTGTAGTAGCCCGCTTGTGACCCTTCACAAGCATAGCTTGCTATGCCCTCAGGATGGTCGAAGTAGAGCCTAAGCCTAAGGATGTGGAGGCCCAGGAACTTAGGACCAGGGCTTGCTGTGTTCGGAAGTGCTCTTATTGGGGCTTCATGTACCTTAGTTTGATTCTTGCACCTGACCTACAGCAGGTCAAAGTCTCTCCAGCCCTTTCCTTTGAGCCTGTCACAGCTCTGCTGCCAAGATCTCTCTCTCTCTCTCTCTTTCTCTTTATCTCTCTCTCTCTCTC